CATTCCTGCAAAAATATTTCCTTATATTAAATGAAATACTAATGGAGACAAAATTGACATATTTTAAGATATTTAAAGAATATCTTCCGTTCAGTTCTACATTTCTGGTGAATCCACAACTCCCCATGACTTCAGCAAAAATCTCAGCAGTGAAAGTAATGTGGGATAGCCCCCCCAGCCTCTGTTGTGCAAATACTTATGCATGTGCCAAACCTGAAGAATATAATCAGTCTATCTAAATAAAGTGGGATATTATGCATTTCCAAAACGATATGGGGATCTAGACCTTATACTGTCTCTACATCAAATTTGTGAAAACCTGTGTCACAAGAACGTGAAAGACAAAGATTTTTCTGTTGGCTCAGTCCTACTGGCCCTGACTCTCTCCTTGGATTAAAAATGTCAGCAACTTTTTCTTAATAAAGAAAAGGATATACGCTTCCTTTTAAATAACCAGAAATATGAGGCTCTCAAGAGCTTTGGAAGAGTCTTGGGTTTGGCCCGTCCATTCAGGCACCTGTTATTTCTCCTCCTCTATTCATACTCACTCTTACAATTCCAGCACCTGCATGACTTTATATCCACAAGTGTAGGTCAAATGAAAATCTAAAATTCTGGCAGCCCTCACCTGGCCTTAAAAAAAACCCCCCCCCCCCCCAAATATGAGGTGGGTGAATATGCTTTAAAAATTCCATTATTTCAGTATTTTTTTCCAGTGTACCCTTCTTCCAGGTGTGGCCTCACCATGATTTTTTTTTTCCTTATTTTTATCTCATAGTTGGCATTTTACAAGTTATTTCGGAACTGCTCAAACAACCATGAAACTTTTTTTATTGTCAAAATCCTGAATGGTTAAATAATGACTAGCTTTCACAGTTTGCCTCTTATTTATTTTATAATCTAGTTGAGCTACTAAATTTAGCTGTTAACTAATAGGCTGTCTGTTCTGGGAAATAGCTTATTTTCCACCCCTGCACACAAGGTTTATGAAAGTCTGCCTGTAAATATATGAATATAAACATATCGCTGCTTGTTGTAATCATGTACATTTTTACTCGAACCTCCATGTGTATTTGGAATATGTTTATGAATAGAGCTTGTTTTCATGTAAATGGGATCAAGCAGTACCGCTGGTTAGCTATTCAGAGAATCAAGACAATATCACCCTTGCTGGAAATACTTCAATAAAAATTTATCCATGTACCTAATATTTGAACTCAGACTTTTTGCTTTCTAGTTCTCTGTTCTAATCCCAGATTTTATTGACTGACAATGAGCTATATGATGGTGTTAAACTAAATGCAATCTATTCTATCTGTTTTTATCGCTGCATACTTCAGGCTTCAGCCGAGGAGCTGTAAGAAAAGAGATATCTTTTTTTTCCTCTTCAATGGCAGCCCAAAAAATTCAGAGAGCAAAAATCCTGCCAACAGTTCTCAAGCCAATTCTGTATCTCGGAAGAGAAATACATGAAAATGAAAAGAAGATTCAAGTTTGATAAAGCAGGGGACATTTTTTTCCCCAGCCTTTTCATGTACCAGAAAACCTAGTGCCCATAACTAAAAGAATAATTTCTAAAAGAAACAAACAACAAAGGGATTTTCATGCTTATTAACCTATATATACGGGCACTTGCAATAAGAAAATAGAGACAATTTGTGAATAAAAACACATACTTCGAGCTAACCTGCGCATTTCTATTTATTTTTTTAGAAATCTATAAATATTTATACATTTACCTGCATCTTAAGTGCTTCAAAATAAATGTACAAAATGCAGGGATTGCAAATGCATTATGTATGTTACCTGTCATGTTTGATTCTTTGTTTCCTAAAGAAACTACGCTATTTCCAAACAGACTGAGAGGAGTATTAGGCAAGAATATTACTGAAAAAAACAACTTAAGTCTTGCTCCGCTCTGCTGTACTCCCAGCACAAATAGGATGACATGGTGTGAGTATCAAGAATACAAGCGATGGCACAGCCAGGTTGTTTTGATATTTGTGTGAAGAACAAATTTAACTCTAAATCTCTTGGCAAGACCTTGCTTCACCCACATAATCTGGAGAACATCCATATGTGAGCCTTGTCTAAGCCTCCGAGAAGACTGCTGCCCTCCTGCTCATGTCCGCCAGCACTCTGATCTGACTTTCATACTTAATCTGATCTAATCCTGTCCAGCATTAACTTCATCTGTGCAATGAAACCTGGAGTATCCATTCTAATATTTGGTGAGGAAGGCATTTACTAAATTACTTGCTGAAATCATATGGTGTTGTTTAGCTCCTTATTTTAATCAGATGATGCATTTCTGAGGCACATTATCAGCGATTAGTTAGAAACCCTTCTCTGTCCTTTTTGGGAACAAAGAACTTTTCTGAAATTAAATGCTAAGAGAAATGAAGCACTGGTGCGTTTTGTCAACAAATAGGTATTAGAAAAAGGAAAAAGACGACTAAATACACTTTCTCCAGTGCTATACAAACCCAGTAACTTTTCTGAAACAAGAAGAGCTTGCTTAAATAGCAAAATATCAATCAAACAAACAAACAAAAGCTTTAGAGGAATGTTTTATCAGAAGCCATTTAAAAAGAACATTGTTTAAAAAGACAATAGACAGCTTCATACTTCCCTTTGCCTTTTTCCTTTAACTATTTCTTAGTAAGGTACAGAAATCTGCTGAACTGAGCTGTCCTAGGAAGTCCCTGTTTTCAGAATTTGGTCTCTCACAATAGTTACGTGCAACAAAGCATAAACAGCTTTTTCTGTTTTGGACATTTAAAGGGTCAAAAGCAAATATTCATGAAGGAAAGACAGATTCATTTAGAAGTATCTAGTCTCACAAATGAAATTTGCACATCTCTTTTTACACTGTCTCCATTTATATAACACAAATAATTAATAATGTACCATTTGTAAAGTTAGCATGCAGCAAATATAGCACAGCACAATTCTGCAAATCCAGTATCAGAAAAGGATTGTGTCAGTAATCAAATCTATTTGCATAAATTATTAAACAATATACCATATTGTAACATGCATCTACCTTTTCATAAATGAAGTGCTGTACTCTTATTTTTTTACTAAGAATTCTCTTACAATTAACATCCGCCTGTGTAAATAATACAAAGCCTATGTCTACAAATATTGCTGTCAAATTGATTTAAGAAACAGAATGCGATGGGGGAAAAAGGTTTTTAAAATCTTTTTTATCTCGGAAAGATTTTCCGGGGAGCAAAAAATATATCCCCTTATATCAATAGTCAGATCTTTCCTAAGAAGTAAGCTAATTGAGCTGTTTGTGTTGATAAACTCCCTTTTCTCCAGGCTGTTCCTCACTGAGCCATAATTATTTGCAATTTGCCTAAGTCGTCCATTTACTGATACGTCAAGCATGAAACGGAGGCAATTCCAGAAAATGGAAATGCTTCTCAAAATCAATCTTTGGGAAATAATGTGGTAGAAGTTACTGTGTGATAGAAGACTACCTTATAACTGTCACATGGAGATGAATATTAATTTGTTGAGGTTAAGGTGGCTTTGTGCTTCATTTGTTGACTTTGCTTAGCCATCAGCAACCAGCACAGTACAATTACTCCAGCAAAGCTATTTTTCTAACGTGAGTTTTATGATTTTTATGTACTTACCAGTCAGCACACATAACAATGTCAAAATGTCCTTCCAGTTGAGAGACATCTGTCTCATTATCCCATCGTAAAATGCTAGAGGAAAAAAAGATTTAAAAAAAAAAAAAGAAAAGAAAAAAGGACTTACATTTTTCATCTTGAGATTTTTAAAGTATCAATATTATTCTTATGTGACAGAAGTGTTTTAAAAAGTACACACTCATTACTTTCAAAGATGAATGTAAAAATATTATTCTGTACATTTTTAAGGTTTTAAATCTCAAAGCTAAAGAGCTATTTTTTATTATAACAGAGAGGCAATCCACACAGGTTCTGATGAGTGGATCACCAACAAATACGCATTTCTGAGTTAGTGGCACATGTATGGCTTCAGACTTTTACCCCTTAACACCACTGCACGAGGAAGTGAAAGTATCGACAATCTGAATGAAACACAAATTTGCAGAATAGATGTGGATTCATGGATCTCCGTTACATCTGGCAGGCAAGTCAGTTGTGTTTCTCATTGACGAAGTGAGCATTCACTTGGGCTGGAGGGAGGAGGGACAGGGTGAAAAAATGCCAAGCCTAACTTCAATGCCAGCTATGTTGCCTCAGGCAAGCTTAAAAATACAGCAGTGCTGACTCTGTCAACACCTATTCTCTCATAGGTGATAAGTTATTTAATCCTAAGGTACCCAATAGTAGGCAAAAATGCACATATGTACAAAGTTGTTCTTTGTTTATAAATGCTGCTGATGTATGTAGCTGCCACGAAGAATTTCAGTACTTTGCTCCCATTTCAAAACCAGCAACTAGTATTGGAATTTACTGCATACTTAAAATATTATTGCCCCAAAGATTTGAAGCTGCATGTCTATTTCTAGGCTATTCTTTAAAAAAGAATCTATCCTTGTTTTTCATTTCCTGGTTATTTATAATAGAAGGTAGATAAATACTTATGGGAAAAGCACTTGTGGGGGAAGGGTCTAATCTGATCTTGTCAGGTTGTGCATGCTTATCTCAGTTTTGTATGAGTCTTGACCAAATAGACCCTTTAGTCTTCCCGCAGCTATAATCTACTTCTGGTTAAAAGCCATCTCCATTCACATCCCACTCCTAATATTTAACTGAGGATCAGTTATAATGTGTTCATTCAGAAATGTTCCCTAAGTATACAGGAAAAAAGGAAATTTTATACATCAACCATACTATATGCAAAAAAGGCTCATAAATACGTAGACACATATAGAGTCATAAACAATTAAGGTACCACAATATCCGTGTACCTGTGCACAGACACAAAATTGGAGAGAGAATGCTTTTAAAACATGGAAATTATGAAAGGAGAGGCCCAGTTCGTTGGGAAAGCTTTGATTATGTGGGGCTCGGTGTAACTGAACAGATCAGGACTCATTAGCCCATTTGCCCTCCTGGAATTTACTGTGACAATCCAAAGAGAGAAGAGAGTAGATTAATTTAATTTTTCCCCCTCAAATTGAAAGTATTCCAGATTTTAGAAGCCTAGGTAGCTTTGCACACTGGCACGCAGCAGGCATCCAGTAGTGGAAAGTGACAAAGGAGAGTTCTCACTCTCAGCTGCTGGCTGCCTGCTGGCTACCAGCGGCTTTTTCAACCCTGTTTCCGTGGAAACTTAGGTTAGAATGGTGAAAATTAGGTAAAGGTAAGTTTTGTGGGTTTAAAGCACGCACTCTAATACTTTAAGAATCCTGAAGCAGAACTGGAAATTGGTAGATGAACTGTGAGCCTTAAAAGGCCACCTTTGGTTCTCATTGCTACAGAAACAGAGATCTGATCAGTACCACTATAGGGATTTAAATTATGATTTTTTTAACCCATATATTTACTATACTTCACACATGCAGTTCGGAAGGCAGCACAGGTGCCTCCTCCTGGAAGAAAAAAACCTCTCTCATGTTACTGTCAGGTTCCCGCTGAGCATCCAAAATACAGCATTTTCTGAGCACGCCTACTGTAGGCACAAAGGAGTTTGTGTGGGTAGGTAAAAGCTCAGAAACCATAATGCTGAGCAAAATATGGAATCGACGAGTTGCCAGGACCGTGAGCAGTGGTGCAACATGACTGGCATGTGTGCTGTTAGAAGGAGTGAGCTAAGGGCCCCACATCCAGCTGCGAGCCAGTCTTCCTCCATTTTCCTGACCTAGTACCAGGGCTGCTCTTGGTCTCTGGCTTCAGTACAGTTGCATTCCTGAAGACGTGATAATTACGCAAAGGCCAATGACAGATTTACACACAAGATTTTCAAAATCAACTTTGCCATACATTTTCAAAAGGTACAGGAAAATCTTTATTCCTGTGGGGAAATAACCACGTAAACTAAAGATAATTTCTAGAAAATAAATACCAACGGGACTCATTCTGATCTCACTCAGGATGTATGCACACTGGTGGGAGAGATGCAACTACAAGCTGTATATATTTATCCATGCTATCTTTAACCAAGTGCAAGTATGACTAGTAAGGGAAGCGCAGTTAGGGTACGTGAAGCTCAATACCAGCTGCAACCTCCGAAACTGTTTCGGTAGCTAACCCTGGGCTACCATATCTACACCGTTATCCATTTAATGCTTCCACAAATTTGCATGAGCTGCAATCAAACACCTGCACCTGCACCTGTAAAGCAGACATGCCCTCGCATATCAGGGAATCAGAAAAAATTCTGCTCGGAGTCAGCATTATTACATCATTAACACTGATGTCAGAATCAGCCTGATTCTGAATCAGAATCAGCTACTTTGAATGCTAGTGCTAATGAAAGTAGTGAATCAGAGTCAGGACGTACATAAATACCATCATCTAGCCATCCAAGTTCTTGTAATCCAAACACAATTCCCGAGTGTGAAGTACAGAAAAATCCACTGATACTGCAAAACAGCTCTGAGAAAAGTAAAGGTGTGTATATGTGTATCTAAATCCATGTATCCAGATGTAGTAAGGGGGTGAGGAACAATAATTTTTTCAGGGATTATTGAGGAAGTGACTCTTGGACTTAGTGGTCAGTCCTGAAAGAAATACCGAAGGCACCATGAAGTAAGGGCTGATTGCATTTCCATTTAAAGAAAAGCACTGCTAGGAAACCCAGAAAAGTGTTAGCAACAAAAATCTGAAAATCTCAGACTTTATGAAGGTTCCTTTAAAAAAATAGACATAAGTGTAAAAATACCATACCACAAAAAGTCTTTTAAATCACCACTATCGTGTTGAGTGCCGACATGAAAAAAATGCAAGCCTTGTTAATATTTTCCTCTTGTTCCCTTTCCAATGATGTTAAATTAGTGGACATAAACCACTTTTTTCTAAAGCCACTTTTCTTCCAGCAAAATAAGACATTTTAAAGCTATATTATTTTTATGTCTTTCTTTTGAGGGAGGATGCTACAGTATTAACAGCTGAAATTATTTTGTAAATGTGAAAAATGTGCTTTATTCCGTATTTCTGTCCAAGCCACACCTTCAATGGCTTTTTTGTAAAAAAAAGCCCCCCAAAACCCAACATATGCAAGGCTGTGTAAAGCCCACTCTTGACATTATTTTGTGCTGGCTTATTTAACTCATGCAGGTTTAGTTTCTTGCAATTGATAATAGGCAACTCGGTTTCAGCAGAAAAGGGTCTGAAACCCTCTGGAAATATAAAACAGTTTGGAAGCTTTTTTTGGCTACAACAAGAACATTAAAAAATGAAATAGGATGCGAGGGAAAAACACTACTGCACTGTTCGGCTACTACTTCGGTCAAACTGATGGTGGCTGAAACTTGGTACCCGCTAATGGCTGCTTTATGGCCTGTATCAAATGAATTTGACCAGTTTTCAGAGGAAAAGTACCCACGTCACAAACCTATTACTATAATTAGCAATCTTGATGGCAGTCCTAGCAAAAAGGACAAGGACTGAATGAGCTATGGAGAATGAACTATCCTCTCACATACAGAGGTGGCTTTTCCAGGTCAGGGATAAAGCATACTATCAAAATAGTCTGAGAAAATATGTACTGATGCTTTAGTTTCCTAGGCTATCAACCTCACGCTATTGTAAAGCAACGAATTCGTTAAAAAAAAACCCCAAACAACACACAACACAAACAATCGAAGCATTTTTTCTTTTGTCCCCGATTTATCTTTTAAATTGACAAGCAAGCCAGAAAATGTGATTAGGTAAAGATAAAAAAAATTGTAATGATAATAGAACAAAAAGATCAACTAAGAAAATAGATACTTTAAGTACTACCAACATACCCCCAAACATCCCCTTGTATTTCAAAGAAAAAAAACCACAACAAAATACCAGACATTGCAGGGATAGTTACAGCAGCCAAGGCTGCACTTCCCCTGTACAGTAATTCTAATTTATGGAGGATAGCCTGACAAATGTCGACACTCTTTTTCTTACACTGGTAAAGTATCTCAGCAATCTGCAACAAAAGACCTGATTTTACCAGGTTTTTATTTCTCATGCAAAATTCCTCATTACTATTATTATTCAACTTCTGTTATTCAGTGTTTGTCTTCCTAGTGTGTCTAGGCAGGTAACTTACATGAGAAAAAACAGGTTAAGTCTCTGATTGTTAAAACTTGAAACGTTTCCAAGTCCCTCTGAGATGTTCTTGTGATGAATGGCATAGGCTAGAGTAGCTCTCAAGTTAGCAGAAAAGTAGTTGTGCAGATAAAGACAAAAAATCAAAATTAGAAGAAAGGACAAAAGACACAAAAGCCTTACTCACTTCGAAATGTATTACTAGTTTCAATAAAGATAAAAAAAATTGTCCCACTTAGCAGATGAACAGCTACCAAGACCCCCATCTACCCACCTCTTCTTTTCATATTTTAATTTAGGCTTCAGTCTTTGAAAAGCATTATCATTGGTAAGTATACAGGTTCAGGTAAAAGATTTTGTCTAGGGGTTTATATGACTTTTTCTATGACATTAACCAAGCAAGTTCATTAACACCTTAACAAAAAGCATCATCAGGATGTTTCTCCACACCTTGATCTTTGTTTGAGATTCCTCAGTTTTGTAGGAAGATCAAGAAGATGGATTTTAATTTAGCAACAGAGGCA